TGTAAAGTCTAACAAATTATTGAAGCTGAAAGTATTCTTGGAGACTCCCAAACTTTGCACTTTCTAATAAATTCAACAGAGAAATACCACTCACATTAAGTACACTTATAAAACATAAGCATGGAATGGTATGTTTTTAACAGGCTGGTATTTAAACATACCATTTAATAATGGTATGTTTTATCAGCAAGTTGCTAAAATGGATCATTCAAACAATTACTAAAGAAACTGGTAACATATCATTGTTTAACTAATATGATTACAGTAGCAGATAGACAGTTTGCTTAATTCCATGTGTTGAATATAATGGATGTCAGTAAAAAGAGCTTGTACTGTATGTTGGTTAAAAAATAAGAAAGCCACTGTACCTGATATTGCTCCCTTCAGACGTGAATTTCTAGCTAAACTATGTATGATAGTGTGATACCCAAAAGGGATCTTTTACTCAGAACATTTTATAGATAGTTCTAAACTCCTGGACATGTAGAAATGACTGAATTTACAAAAACCCTAATGTAAAATATTTACAATTTGCCAGGTATACTTCTGGCCAATAAACTCAAGGATGTATTGTGGGATCTGATATAAATTCTCATTTCTAGCACAATACAAAACTAATGATTATTAAAAAAGTACTTCTAAGAGAATAGTTTTCAACTGAACTAGAATCTTTTTCAGTCAGATCCTACAGATGCTTCTGTGGCTCCTAATTGTTTCATCTTACACATACTCATATTTTGTATGGCACTTTGCCCTGAGGTTTTTAACTTTGCCCGTGCATTTACTCAAAGAAAGTGGACAGGTTTTCATCAATTGGTTTATATGTGCTTTGTCTTTCTCCATCATAAACTAAGTGCTGGCCATCTGTTTTGTTGGTGAAGACTGGAGCTGATGGCATCATAATGAAGCTCACTGCTTCTGCGGTCAGGTCCCTGTTCCTCACCCTCCCTCCTGGAAAGCGTTTTCTTTCTTAAGAGGAGTGTGCTCCATGTGTATGTATCATTATAGGCATGTAAAATTCATTTAGGGCTAAAACAAAGTCATTTTATGTTTGACATCAAGGATAAAGTGAAATCTTCTTAATGAAGAGCATACTAAATATTGGAGCAGAAGCTTATCTGGTGATATCTTTCAATCATTTCATGTTCCATTTGGGTACATTACACTAAAAATGTGGGAGAAGGATGGCTGGTAATTTATCTTTTTGCTCAATATAGATGTACTCCCCAGCCCTTTTTATAAGAGTAAAAGGCTTTTCCAAAATAGAATAGAGCTAATTCCATAATGTAAATCCAGAAGAGAGAGCTATCCCAAAGTGATAAGTCACTACTTTTTGTTCCTGTGACAAAAATGTCCACTCTTTGGCTTCCTCTTCCCCTTCCCATTTCTTCTTTTAATGAACAGTTCAGTTCTATAAAAGGTGTGGCAGAACAAGGTAGCCATCCATCCCTGGTGGTGAGGGTGACCCAGCGGCGCGCATCAGCACATGTTGGAGCCTGAACAGTATAAGAAGGACACTGTTCCATGTGAGAGGGCAGTTCACAGGGGACCTTAAGAGCCAGAAGGGTGAGGAGAGGGGCCACACAGAAAAGTGGCCATATTTTGAATAGTATTTATGAATTTCTTACTCATTTAATGTGTTAAACTGTGCTATTATTTTTATTATGTTTCAGTCATTTTAAAATGTATCACTGATGAAGTATTTCCTCCAACCTCATTTTTCCTTGGGCCCCATCATTTTTAGTGTGTGATTTTGCATGGTATGATAGTTTTTAGGAATGTGTATATCATCATATGGCAGAACTGACTGTATTCAAAATTAGAAATTCACACAAACATCTCCAAGTTGAGGTTGGATAAAACTGGGAGAGACCTTATTCTGAGAGATTTTCACCAAACATCCAAAATAAGGCCAAGATAAGAGCTAAGGTTATTAGCTGGAAAAGACTGGGTTTTGGGCCCTCAAAACGAGCAGAACATAGGTCTAGGGTTGGACAGGATAGAGGTGGGTGATTCAGGAAATTAAGTACAGAGCAGAGAGATCTGACAGCTCACGGGTTTATGAAGCAGCTCCTTCCACTTGCCACTCTGACCTCTCCCAGCAGCCCACAGACTCGTGAACACTCACACACACAAATAACTTCCATCTTCAGAAAGAAGAAGAAAGAGGAGGAGGAGCTGATTGGGCAAACTTCCAATCTTTCATTTCATGAGCAAAGTGGTCTCCAGGGAAAAGAGTGTTGGCTTTATTTTCAATAGAGTTGAGTCTTAACTCAGTCTCTGCCTAGCTGGATGCTATTTTTGTGTAATTTTTTTTCTGGCAGATTTTCCTTGAATGGCTGTGTTTTATTTAGGTTATTCTCTCTTCTTATCCATAGCACTCTGTGTATGCTACCATTCTAGTACTCTTCACATTATAGTCCATCACTAATTCACCAGCTCTTTTCCTGGTTGAGCTGTATATATGTATTCCTGGTTGAGTAATTGGATAAATAATAAAAATTTCCTTGCTTTTTTGAGGCTGATTTTCTTCATTTGTGCATTCATTCAATTATTTATCCATTCATTCACTGAACAACATCCCTTAAACATGCTCTATTCAAGATGTGAGGGTTACAAAGAAATAAGTATCAGTTCTTAAGTTTACTTATACATCTTTAAAGAGAAAATGTAACATTATCGAATTGTCAAGTAATGGAGTATCTTTATACCTTATTTAGGTGGGAGGTGAGAGCCTGAATGTGTCTCTCCTGACTTCATACCACAGCTACAATCAAACTACAGGACTTATCTTGAGCTGAGCAGCAACTGGGCCTGGAGGATGTAAGACCTTTAGATTCTGGAGGGAGAAAAAAAAGTTGATGGAAAACTTCCCTCCTCTGTATTGGGGGAGAGTTTGGAGGCAGTTGACAGAGACCCAGGGGGTGAGTAAGGATCTGCATACTACTGATTGCAGAGATTTGTGAAAACCCAGGAAATGGCAATGTATCTTCCCAACTGAGTGTTTCTGGAATGACAGCAGGTCTCATGGTCCCCCATGAGTTGCAGGAGGGCTTAGCAAATATATTGAGCCCCTTCTGGCCCTGAATCTAGAAGAGCACAGATCATTTCCTGCTGAAAAGGCTGACAAATGAAGAGACTTCATTCAAGCACTAATCTAGGGGAATTATATTTTGACTATCTGGCAAATCTCTGATGCACTTTGCCAAAGACTCCTGTGCCTTCCTTCATTTTCAAGATAGTTGCCACACTCAGCACCTCTTTAACTGGAACTTAACCCCTCAGTAAATAGACAAAATACATTGGCAACCACTGAAGGGGGCCCAGCACTCAAAATGAGGAGAATCAAGAAAACACACAAAATAAGTGGCTTCTAACAAAATAGAGCTATCAGAGTTGTCTTCTTCTAGATCAGCAGAGCTCTTTTGTCTTGTGCATTGAACAGTCAAAGACTGGAAACAAAGGCTGGAGAAGCCTGAAAATATCTCAGCTTCCACCAAACTGCCTGAAATTGTAGTTAATAGTCATAGTTCATCTTTCAGATTTAATAAACAAAAAACCCAAAGACTTCCTGAAATTGATCATCTAAGTAGAGCTTAAAAATCAACCAATTAATATAATCAGTCAATTAATACTAATAGTATTATTTGGTATCTTGATAGCCCACTTAATTTGATATCTTAAATGTTTTTACAAAATTATTTGATAAAACATAAATGTTATTTAAATATTTACAGAGTTGGGTTAAACTTTGAACTTGATCTTGAACAAAAATAGCACCACTCTTTCCAATAAATCTAAAAAGAAGTAAGGAGGTACAATTATAATGTGTGCATGTGTGTGTGTCATCACACACACACACACACACACACACACACACACACACCTTTGCTGGACCTATAAAAACAGACAATTTTTTGTTTTGCAAAAAACCAAACTAATTAATAGATGAATAGAAGGAGCAGAAAATCTCTATTAAAACCAATAAAATAAAGATGGGAAAGGTAGTATATTTGGATCACAAATCCAGTACACCTTCCATGTGAATAAGGAGTGCTGGAAGAAAAATGAGCATATGAAAAAGAAGTTATTAAATAGTAGAAGGAAGTTTCAGCAGAAGATTTGAACCTTCAAATTAAAATGCTTCTCTAAATTCCAGGCAAGATAAATGAAGAACATATACTATTGTGAAAAAAGATCAACAACTCAGAGTTTAAAGAACAAAACTACTGTTTATAGGAACTGCATTACAGGAAGGCAGGAGAGAATATTCACAAGCCAAGAGTGGATGACCATCATAACCCAGTTCCTGAGCACATCAAAACGGTATATAGGCTTTTGAAAAATACTTGAGTATGCTCAAAACCTGCAAGTTTTGCTCTATGATCAGTCGGGAATGGGGTGTGAAGATGATTGTTTGTGATAATCAGGAGTGGGGACAGTAGAGGTTAAAAGTAGGCACACATCAAAAAGCCCCGTTGAGAAAGAAACTGACGTACATTTGAAAAAAGTCACCTATTTTTCCAGTAAAATGCCAAGGATTTGTAAATAAATTATACTACTTTTCCAAAGGAATAAAATATTAAATAAGTCACGGTTACTTGTGATTCTGAAGTTCTAGCCTCCAGGAACTGAAGTTTTGTTCACTTCCTCATTGATATTTAAATACATTCTGACAAGACTGCAGAACTCCAGAAATAGAAGAAAAATCTTAAAAGCATCTAGAGAGAAAAAAAAATTATTTCCTTAGAAGTGATTTTTTATGACTCTGTCAGTTACCTTTCTTAAACTCAATTCTTTAAAACATATTCCATAATATGATGTTAACTTGTTTTTTTATAGTGGATATATATTGGTTATTTGGATTGAGTACAGACTAAATATGATGAGTGTGTGTGTGTGTGTGTTGCTACAATAAATTCCAACCACTGAAGAAGGGAGAGCCAAAAACAAATGCTTTATTTTATAATAACTTTTAATCCATTGAAATTTTGCACAAAATAGACTTTGGTAGGATAGAATTTGAACTCTTGTTGCAAATAGTAAACATTCAAAAGAAATTGAATTTAAGAATATTCAAGCAAAGACATGACATTACTGACTAGACCATTTTTAAAATCAAGAAAGCACTACCAAAAACATCATAGTACTGCTTACATACATACAGTTCTTTAATATTTCTGACATAGCTTCCTTACGTAGATTATTGTTTCATTGGTTTCAGTTTTATATTCTTTGAGCTGAAGTCATAGTATGTACATTAAGAAACTGACATGATTAGAATGTGTTGATTTCTTAGTAAATCCACCTTTATGGAAGAGAAAATACAATATACATGGAATGTCCGCCTTATACCTACCCACTGGCAAGAATAGTCAGGGAGTCCTGAGTAGAATTCATTTGATCATCTGTTTTATGAGCCACATTCCTTCAACTAAATAGTCATTGAATATCATGAGACAACACAGGTTATGTTAAAACATTTTCATGCTGGACATTTGGGGCTCCGATTCTAGCCATTCTGGTTCATATTCTCTATGGATGCTGCCTTGTTGTTTCTTTAAACTTGATTCCCGATAATAGGAAAGGGAGTTGAGGCACAGGAATGGTGTTTAGGGTTCAGGTTCCAGCTGGTTGTGGCTGTCCTGTTCATGGAAATGACTGTCATGTTGTTTAGACTTGGGGACCTTCAGAGAAAATAAGATTAGGACACTTTATAGTTTCTTTCACAGGGCCTGTCAAAGTATTTTCTGTAATTATTATCCAAGCTTAGGAAGACTTCGGAATAAAAATGTTTGAGTTGGGAAAGAATTTTAAAACCAAAAATATTTATCCTACCCAAGCTGAGTACATTCTCTGTATCCTAATCCTATTCTCCCTAAAAATCCCATTGAACATATCCAAGTATTATCACTCTTAGACTTTGTAGGAAATAGTTTGGGAGAAAATGTCAATGTAGTAAAGAGAAAGTGAAGGATAGATAGAGGCTGGTGTTCTGATTTATAGAACCTCTTACGGTATACTCTGTGAGATTTTTCAACCTTCTATGTTCTACCTGCTCTTGCCTACATATGACATACGGTGTAAAAATCTCATGCTATTGCCCAGGATTCCTGTTCTTTACAAGAATGGCTTTATATCGCTCTCAGAGGAGTGAAAGGGCATTGGCCAAGTAAATTCTGTCTTGTCTTCATCTAGTTTCTGCTTTGAAAAATACTATAACATCTGTCTGGACATACTGTCTCAGTTTCTGTCTATAAATAGGGGATTCATCCAATTTCATCATGTGGATGCCACATGGACATCTAGGTGTGAAGCGAACAAAACTTCCACTAGTGTAGTCATCATTTACATCCTCAGACAGAACACTGAACAATAAGTACCTTCCAATAAACGGAGTCATTATAACATTTCTGGTCAGACGGCTGTCCCCAGATAGGTAACTTTAGAATTAAACCTGTGAAGGAAGGAGAAAATATGATGCTGAAGAGCCCAGTAATTCAAATGTTAGAACATCATCTCCTTGAGCTTACATGATTACTGTCAGAAGTGTAGAACATTTACAAATTTACATTTTTCACATTTACAAATGTATTTATCATTTAATATGCTGAGAGCATGACATACACAGAAGTGTTTACTTTCTTTCTGACCTGTGATCAGACCTCCGGTAATAGCTGTTCCGATGGAAGAACCTAGTGCGGCTGCCTGTATGGTCATGGAAGACCTGGGAAGCCAAAAGAAAAGAACTGTGTTGTTTTTCCAGGACACCAGCAAACAAATCTCACTCCTAAGGGCATTGCTGCCTGCCATCTTCAGCCCAGAGTGAGCATTACACACCAGCACACAAACATTTGTTACAGTTTTTCTTTCATTTCAGATTTTTATTTTCTTTGAAATTCTTGAGCAATGCTAAGAAATTCTTATAAACACTTAAACAAGAGCCATCTTTTACTTCAGGAATGATGAAAAGACCTTCCTTTGAAAGGGTTTAGTATTTTCTAAGAATTTGTGCCAGATGCTCCCAAGGCTATGGCCACTGTGGTTATGAGCTCTGGTCTGATTCATTCAAGAAATATTTATTGAGTATTCACACTGTGCCAGGTTCCCTTCAAGGCACTGAGGACAGAGTCATGCACAAAATGAATGTGAGCTGCGCCTCTCCTCACCCCATCCCCAAAAGAAACAATGGCAATGAAATTTAAAAACCAGTGAAGTCAGAAACGCTTATTTTAGCATGTATTGTAGAGACAACTCATTGATTATATTAGTGCATACCTCTATATGTCATCTTAAAAGTTGTTACCTTAACATGAAATTAACAAAAAACACCTCATAGTTTGGGGAATGGAAGAATGTGATTTAAAAAAGCCATTGAAATGAATAAGGGTATTACATGAGTGACAGATGAACTAGGAATGTGGGGGTCTCCTTAGCACAGCGCCTTACTCTTAGCGGGCAATAGTAGTTTTTGAAAGATTGAATGAGTGATTGCAGAAAGCAAACAATTGGAAACCCCAAGTGTGTTGGTGGCCATTTAAATAAACACTTATACCCTCTTTGGGAAGACTCTAGGGCAATCTGTTAGAGCTTGAAGGGATTTTAAAGAATAAATAGTACAATTTTTGTATTTTATGAAGAGGAAACTGAGAACCAGAGAGGTTGAGTGACCTGTCCAAGGGCCTGTAATTAGTTAATAGCAAAGTTGGAGCCTATGCCAGTCTTCTTGGTTCCCGAATCCAGCCGCTTGTCACATTTTGCTAACTCACTCATTTTGTGTTGACTGGATGGAAATGACTGCTCAGCTCATCACATAAGCACCACCCCCTCCATTTTGCTGGGACCAAATAAAGAGGACACCTACTGTAATCTGAATATGATTACCAAATTGCCCCATCTGTTAGGAGACAGTTGCCTATAATAGAGAAATTTAAATTAACACTTACTTTTTTAAAAAAACATATATGACATTAGTTAAAACCCATCTTCCAATACTATTCTATTATGTTAGTTATGTCTCTCTGTCTTCAATAAGGACAACATACGAACTGCAGCCTAGATGGCTGAAGAAAAAGCTCTCTCATCACTGGACGTCTCAAAGAGTGAGAAAAAAGTAACACTGGATCCTCAACAATGGGAAAACCATTCCTTCACTCACGTGTCAGATGCTCCCAAGGCTATGGCCACAATGCTCGCGAGGCCTCCTATCACACCAGGTAAACCGTGCAGGTTATGGACCCCACATGTGTCATGGATCCTCAGTTTAGCAGTAAAAAATGGCTAAAATGGTAAAACGAGAAAGGTTTATTATTTTGTTACCTACACAGAGCTCTGAAACTAAGTCAATGATTTGCAGGAGAAATGTTACCTATGGCCCAGTTTGCCATCTGTATCTCAAACCCACTTAAGCCAAAGAATCTGAGCAAACACATCTCACTCCAAAGGGCATTGCTGCCTGCCATCTTCAGCCCAGAGTGAGTATTACACACCAGCAAACATTTGTTGCAGTTTTTCTTTCATTTCAAATGTTAATTTTCTTTGAAATTCTTGAGGAATGCTAAGAAATCTGGTTATTTCCGTCTGTAGTAGATGGATTGAAGGTGAATGATTTCAAGTCCTACTCCTTATCAACTGATGATATCCTATACCCTCTTTAAAAGGAACAGAGTCCTTAAATATACAAACATCAATACAGCAATTTTAGTGGAACTGTCCTGAGGAAAGTGACACAAGTGGTTAACATTCAATGCATAGTAAGTTATGAATAAATGATAATCAGATTCTTTCCCACTATGCAAAAAATTCAGGGAATAGTAGAATCCAAAGGACCACTGCAACGTGAGTGTATTTCTGACAGACAAAGGAGAGGTGCTTAGGAAAGGACTTTTCATCGCTTTTCTCTGCTGGTGAGATGTGAGGAGATGCTGGTGCAGTTGGACTGAGAGCATTTGTCATACTTACAGTCAGGAACTTGAACCCAAGCACAGAGACAATCCCTGCAAGGCTTCCAATGATCATAGCACCATATGGCTTGATCTCCATGTCTGCGCAAGAGCCCACAGCAACTCCTCCAGCTAGGGTTGCATTCTGGATGTGAACCTGCATGGAGCACAGACACATTGACCAAGTGAGCTGAAAGGCAAAGTTCAGAAGGCCTGAAGGCATCTAGGGCACCATGGATGCCACGGCACATCGTTCAGTTGAAAGGGCTATGGATTTTTTTTAAAAAAAGAAGGCTCTCTGCAATTACAGAAGACCTTTCCTCCAAGCAGTTGACATCTGCAATCTTTCTTGCCGGGGTTCTTTAGCAGTATATGAACCATCAAGATAGTGAGACCATGAGAAGAGGGATGGGAGGAAACAAGTTGTAATGGAAGGGTGGAAGTGGGTAGAGAAATTATCCCAACAGTTTTGCCTGTTTATGCAGTCCTGGAATGCATCTGTGCTTATCATGAACCAAAAGAGGCCCATGGCTGCCGTGTGCTTTGTAGAGTCCATAATATTCCAATATTTAAAGAGGGGAAGGAGAGACGTTGAAGTATTCACATTATGTGTAAAAGACAACAGCTTTCACAAATGTCACTGTACTGAGGACATTTGAAGATGGAGAAAAGAATAACCAATTTTCATTTGCCAGAATATCCCAGAAAAATCATATTCTGGCTGTTCTGCCTGAGGAGGAAAGGGTAACAGTACTTTTAAAAGAGAACCACTGAGCTGCACATGTACGTTTGTGTCTTTTCATTGTTTTCAATTTTCTTTCATGAAACAATTTAAAGAGAATTGAAATACATGTCCTTAGCTACATTTGAAAAAAATTACAATGTCGTTTCCTCTCTTAGGTTAGAAGAGAATAGTGGCCTGGTCTGAGGGTTACTCCTTCACTGCCATTTCTCTAGCTCCTAGTCAATAAACTAAAAAACCACCTTGGGAGATTTTTTAAATGATTTATTTTGAAATAATTTCAAACTTATGTAAAAGTTCCAAAACTACTTCAGAGGGTTTCCATCTACCCCTCACCCAGTTTCCCCCAATGATAACATCCTACATAGTCATAGATCTAGGAAATTAGCATTGATAAACTACTACTAGAGAACTTATTTGAATTTTACCAGTATTTCCCACTCATGTCTGTTTTCTTTTCCAGAATCCTATTCAGGATTCCCACATTGCATTTAGTTGTTTCTTCTTTGAGAGGAATATCTACAGTGAGGACAGTTGAATCACCTTGTATCTCCCCACTCTCCTTTTTTTACTCTTGATAAATCCTGTATCTAAAGACAATTTTCTAAGAGCTTGGGGACAGTTAGCTCTCTCACTAAAGAACTATGTCTCAAATCTTTGACTTTTTTTGCATGATTTGTATTTCCTACTAGACTGAAAATTCCTTGAGAACACTTGTTGATCAGCTGGAGAATAACTTTGATAAACCAATGGATAATGTCATTTTAAAAGTATTCTCCAAGGTCTGCAGTGTTGTGATTCATTCCGACAGCCCAGCAGTGATGCAGCAATGACGTATTCAGCTGAGCAGGCGTCATTTTTGCTCAGTGACCCTTCCATGGGGTGATTATGGCACTTACCATGTCAAGCCTGCCTCGGGGCTCAACAAAGCCGGAGAAGGCATAGGCTGTGATCACACAGGCAGCAAGAGACAAGTATGTGTTTATGATGGCCCTGTACTGTCTGTCTCCTTTTTCAGCGATGGCTGAATTAAAGCTGGGCCAAAATGTCCATAGAAAAAGAGTCCCTGTAGTAAAGCACAAGAAGGGATATTAGTTCTGAACCTGGAACCGTCTAATCCAGGGGAGGCAGCTTGCCTTGAGCACTGATGATGTGTTTGGTTTCAGGCTTCGTTATCCAAGAGTTTGGTGGGTAGAGGTGAATTTAGCCCACATAAACAAAAGTAGTATTTGCAGGATGCCCCTCCTCAAACACCCTCACACCTATGTTGGAGTTCACCTTCCCTGTGTCTGACGAAATAGACAAGAATCGGGCACATCGATCACTACTTACCAATCATTGCAAACAAGTCCGAGTAGTACTCAGACTCTTCATTGTCGTGCCTTTTCCTCAGACCTGATCGATATAAGACGCCTGCTACGGCCAAACCAAAGTAGGCTCCAAACACATGGATCGTCATTGATGCTCCAACATCAGAGGCCTGAGGGGCAAAACTTTCATGTAAATGGAGTTGAAATTGAGTCTTACTACAGGCAGAAGGCCAGTGAAAGAACTGCTCCATTGGTTTAACAACACAAAAAAAATAGATCAAGGGAGAGAAAGAATGTGTCAGAGAAGGGAGAATAAAACAGGATAGTGAAATAGAAAAACTACAGGCTTTAGAGCCACACAGAACTGACATTCACTCCCAGGTTATATACTTTTTTGTGATGTGACTCGAGACAAATTAGTATACTTCTCTTCATCTCCAGTTTTGTAAAATGGGGAAGTATTACCCAGCTCATGTAGTTCTGGTGAGGCTTAGCTGAAACCAAGTTTATAAAGTACTAGGTTCATAGCAGTCCTTCAATACATTTTAGGTTACTCCTCTGGGTGAGGGAGATTGTCAGTGAAATATTATGCATTGCACTTAATGTACCAAACCAAGATTATTTTTGCATTAATTTGATATTGTAGTTAAGACTCACTTAACTGCAACTCAAAGACTTGAAGCCTCAAAAAGCCTGTATCTTTCTTATACTTTTAATTCTGCATGAAAATTGGTTGACGTCCAAGATTCATTTGTGGAAATATATTTCAGGTCCCTCTTTAGCACACTGTCCAGATTTCGTGCAGTTTTCTACATTTTCTACCTCAATAGGGAAAATTCTGAGTGCCAAGCCCGAGGTATTGCTCTGTACTTATTAAGGTACATTAAGGAAAATGATCCAAATTTATTAATTTATTTAATATTTTCATACTTGATAAACTCCTATGTAATTTTCAGGTCCAGCTTAACTGTTACTTCCTCAGAGAGGCTTCCTTGATTCCATGATCTAAATTAGGTCGCCCAGCTTTACTCTTTCCTAGCCTCCTCTACTTACCTTGCATAGCATGCATTGCAATTTATCATATTGTGTGTGTGTGTGTCTGTGTGTGTGTGTATGTGTGCGTGTGTGCGTGTGTGTGCTTACAGGTGGGTGGTGAATGTATGACTGTTTCATGTCCGTCTCCCCCACCAGATTGTAAATTCTACAAAAACAGGGCCTTAGCTACTTTTTCTGCAGTTGAATCACCAACACATGATGCCTAGAAAATTGTCAAAAATACTTGCTGTTGAATTAAATATTCAGTAGAAGCATTAACAAAACATTGGAGAGTACCCAGAAATACTCTATTTATTATCCTTGGAGGAATCAATTAGATTTTCATAGAGAAGAAATCTGATCTAGGCTTTAAAAAAAGCCTTAGAAAAGGCTGTTCACCTAGAAGTTGAAATCTAAATTGATCACTGATAGAAACTATCATGTAATAAAAAGAGTTGTGGAGTTAGAAAAAGCTGGATTTGCATTCAGATTTAGGCCAGTCATTTGGCTTCTGTGATCATTAGTTTTATATGTATAAATAGTAACGATGTAATAATAACTACCTTACTGTGTACTGGTGACAATGAAATGATATAATGTTTATAGAACTCCTGGTTTACAATAATAGGCACTCAAATAAATGATGGCTCTTACTACTACTTGCCGAGGTATGCCTCTCACCAAGCTTTGTCCCTGTGTAGAGTGAGCATCCCTTATGTGTCGTGACTAGGACCGATGTTCTGGTGGCGGAGTATGTGGAAAAGCACTGTGTAAGCTAGTAAGTATAAATCCTCCGACACTTACCAAAAATATCTCACCAACCAGATATTCATTGCCAGCAAAGGCAGTAATTTCCATAATTGTCATGATCAGCATTTGGATTGGACTTATTTTTCCCAGGACAGCTCCAAAAGAAATCAGAACTGTGGCTGTACTGAAGTCTGCATTAATCATGCTGAGGGAAAGAAGAAAGAATGCATTGAAGAATAATGCACACTGAAAATAAACCTGAGTTGGGTTGAACTACAGCATTACCTTATACAGAGTACAAGGCTTCTGTCTCTGTCCCCCAACTTTGCATAAAACACTGCAGTGCCCATCAGGGGCTTCTCCCAGGCCTATGTTGATCTGCTCCCAATGCCTTACCTCTCCTCACTCCCCCTTACCTTACACTCTAGTTGCTCTAACATTTCCTTTATTTTAATCTACCTGTTCTTTGTCTTATGAAGGATTTAACTTTATTCTGTTGATTTAATACAGAATTATTTCCTAGAGTGCTTACTTTTCAAAAATAGTTTTAGAAAAATAACTAATGGAGATGTTTTCTCTGTGTTGCTGAGATGGAAGGAATAATAGTTTTATGGAGGGGGATTTCTTATACCCTGAAAGTCAAACCAGAGAAGATGTAGACAGGAATGTATGATTCAGCTCAGTAGAGCAAGGCTCTGATTGGCATCCTTGGATCCCAACATCTTCTATTGCTGAAGGGAGACAGTTTGCCAGCTACTTCAGAGGCTGACAAGCAAGAGACTAAGCAGAGAAATGATTGATCTGAAACACAATGGTTGAAAAATAAGGGATGCTTACCTTCTAATTCCAATTTGAATTTTCTTTCCATTGCTGTGCAGGATCCCTTGTATAATAGTGCCCCACTGGAGGCCCAGAGCAGCAATGAATAGGTTGATACCCACACCACTGAAGCCATAGTTCTTCAGGAAGGTCATGAGGAAGCCAAACCCGACAAATATCATAATGTGCACATCTTGGAATACTGCAGAAGAACAGAGGAGTGCATTAGGGGAGCACTAAGAAAGTTTTACATAGTGTATTCCATTGACTAAATACTATATACTTTGCATAAAACACTGCAAAAGGAGAGCATTAATGGGGCAACCAAAGTCTGGGTTCCATTGCCAGCCTGCGTACTTCCCAGCCATGAGACCTTGGGTAGATTTATTCAACGTTTGAGCCTGTTCTTGGAATACTATGCACTGTCTTACCAGGAACACTATGCACTGTCATACCAGTGGGCCTTTCATCCTCTCCCTGAAGAGGTTTTCATTACTTTCCACCCAAGGAAATCTTTGCAATGCGTCATCCGCTATTGCAGACTCCCCAATACTCCCAGAGAAAAATTCCCATTTCCTCTTGTGTCTCACACAGCTTTCTGTATCCTCGACTTTTAACATTTAGTCACATTGGATTCACCTTTATTTAGCACGCATCACACTATGACTGATGGTCTGTGAGGTATTCATCTCCTGCACTAGATCTAGAGCTTCCTGATGGAAAGATTAGGACATGCTAGTCCTTTGCTTCCCCAAAGTTTGTATAAAAGTCTGACTAGTGAGCAATGACTAAAGGAATGCCCTACTGTCCCCATGTGTCAAGTGTGCATAGTGGAACCAGTCCTGGGAATCTTACCAGATCGTTTTTCAAGTCAAATGGATAAGCCTTTGTTAGCACTTCCTAAGCCAGGGTAAGGAACACTGTACTCTGGAGAAACAAGTGCTTGACTTGGTGTCTGGAGATGTAGGCTAAGCCCCCCCCAGTTCTCTCACGGACGTGTGACCTTGGGCAAGTGACGCATTCTCTGAGCTTCAGTGCTCTCTTCTGCGGTACTGAAAAGGCCCTGTTTCCCAGAGTTACTCTGAGTGGGATGACCTCTGCGTGACGGAGTATGCGGAAAAGCACTGTGTAAGTAAAACACAGGATCAAGTGTGAGATGGTGAAAACAGGCTCTTTCCTCAAGAAACTTACAGCTTATGTGGTGAAACATACATATACATATGGGGTTGAACCATTAGATGGACTTTTTGCACTGAAATTGCTGAGGAAAATGCTCCGACTATTGGCAATTTCTTATGGTCCAACCTAATAGATAACAAAAAACAAATTGGGATCATGCCGGGAACAAATACAAACCCAGAGAGAAAAAGTGAAGCATGAGGAAGGTCACACCTAGAAGACACATCTCAGAGGAAACGAACGTTAGAATCCAACTAATTTGTCCAAAGAAGGAAGTCAGGATTCAAATTCGGGCCTGACTCCACCGACTGAGGCACTGAGCACACTAGGGATGCGAGCATGGTCAAGGCAGAGTTTTGGCCTCCCAGGCGCTGGTGACGCAGAGACAGGCCACCACCCCTTGGCTGCCTCTGCCTCTGTTCCCCCCGCAGGCTCCGGAGACGGTGTGTTTGAGGGTGGGAGGCCGTGCCTCCCAGGTCTCTGTGCTGAAGGGGGTGCTGTAATGTACGACAGAGAGGCCCCCTTTAGACTTGAAGGACTTACTCCTTCCCTTTCTCCTGACTGCAGGGAGTGCTTTCAGATGACAGCTCTCAGTTCTCTCTGGGAGAAGCTCTTGCCCATGTCCCAGCCCTGCCCCGGGGTAGGCTGCACCCATGGCTAATTCACAGGAGCATGCCTCCCCTCAGGAGAGGACCACCTGATGCTAGACAATGCCAGCCTCGGGGCCTGCTGAGGCCCTCTCTCTCTCTGCCCAAAGCCTTCTGCCACAGATATTGATCCTTAGGCCATTTCCTGATACACTTCTTTCAGGCTAACGTCTGTCTTAGAGACTTGCCCGGGGAGCCCATCCTGTCGCACCTTCCCCATGGGCTTCCCTCCCCTCTCAGACCTCTCCTGATTTTCTCCTGACACAACTTGCACACCACACTTATTTCAAACTTTGCAAATTAAATCCATAGCAGTGATCACAACCAGAAATGGACGAAGATGCTGGGTTTCCAAAGGAACCCAGCAAATCAAAAAGGGTCCCTTGGAAGCATGGGAATTCATCCTAAAATATTACTCTCTGAGTAATAGCATGACAGACAGATCTGGTTGGTATCCCAGACGGAGGCACCAGGGGCCTTTGGTGGTTCAGAATCCAGTCTAACTTTTGTCTGAATGCAGGAAGTGCAAGAATAAAGAGAATGAGGAGCCCAGACCGAACCTCATGGGTGGGGCACACACGGGTGACCCTCGCTCTTTGGGCCCATCCTTGCAATCAGCCTTATGGCCATTTTATTGTTCACTGGAGCCACCTGCCAATAGAGGCCGTATGAGGAGGGTGAGGAAGGGAACAACAGATTTCTGAAAATCGCCCCTCATCACCAGCCTGGAGGGAAGTCTCAGAGAGAGAATGAGCCACAGAGCCTTTCTTCTAGGGAGGTCATTCAGATTGGCAACCATCTGACTTAGGCCAGCGTTCTGGATGCCCACCCTCATCTCGTATCTACCCTGGGAACTTCAGAATTGAAGTTTTACCCAACCTGATTGATGGGCAACCGTCAGCTAACACCCACTTGTTTGATTTCTGAAATGCAGGTGACGATATATGTTCATCTTTCTTTTCATATTGTTCTGCCACCATTTAATTTTTATATGTAAACATTGATTTAGATCATAGACTAAATTGGCCTAGAACTTAGAGAATATACACAACTCTTACTACCTGGTTATGATCGTACTAAACCTTTCTGGGGCTCAATTTTCTCCTCTTAAAGGAATATTTGGGTTAGAAGAAGTCCAGAATATGGTAGTAGCTCTACAATTTACTTATTTTATTTTGTTTTTAGATCAGGACTCTAAGATCCAGAAAAGTCGTATGAGTTGATTAGAGTCACAAAGCTAAAATAAAAATAAGGGGCTAGTTTTACTGACTTCACTGTTTCTTTTTGTTTTGTTTTTCGTCACACCAAGTTACTTTTCTTTTTTCTTACTTTTGTTCCTTCTGTAACCTACTGATTTTAAAACGTGCAGTAACCAACTAATTTAAAAAATCGTTTTATCTAACTTTCTCATGTCTCACACTGGGAGAAATAGTTCTTCAGATTCTGTCCCTCTCCCGCTTTGGTGGAAAGCCAGATGTTTTACATGTGGGGAGGAAATGCTTGTATTGACTGTGCTCCACTGTTTACCCTCTGATCTAATTCTCGTTACTGCTTTTGGCCACACGGGGGCTGAAGAACCTCATCTATTATTTAAGTTGCCTAAGAGAGCTTCCAAAGTTTTATTCCAAAGGCCCTTGATAGATAGTGATTCCATATAAAAGACATGGATAAAAAGGTGTGTGAACAATTAAGATTATGTATTACTTTTCATCCTGTTCTAGGAATCTGTACGTGAGAACTAGCAAGAGAGAATGTAGTTTTATGGTGCATGATTCTGCCATGAAAGGAATAAAGTATCCTCTTTGTAGAGGAAAAGGGGATTTCCTTACAGGTTTGAACTTTTTGTGAAGCCTTCTGACAGGTTTGAAGCACTGTCAAGACATGTCTAACTCATATTTTCAATAGGCGGTGATTTTAGCCTCCAGAGTAAATTTGGATAATATTTTTGTGCTCTTTCACATTCACATTTATCTTGCAATAGGATATCTTGCAAGACATGGTAACTCAACATGCTTAAAGTACAACTGATCATTTCTACTCACCCTCTACTACCACCAACAAATGAACACAATGAAACAGGACCCGAGGCTCTTCCTCTGTTTCCAATACATGCCTACTGCCTAGAATGTCTTCTCTGTCCAATTCCCAGAACTTCTTTACCTGGCAAACTTCTAGAACCCCTTGAAGAACCAGATTCTCTGCACAGTGTTGCCAGACACAGCTGTACCATTGTACAGGTGCCTCATTTTTATTTCATTTGTTTATGTGTTTGTGTGTTTTGTCACTCTACGTGCTCACTTATCATTTATTCATATAGAGTAGTGAGTGAGCAGGGCCAGCAAAGCACTCTTTCAGGGGAAAGTGAGTGTGAGTGTGGTGGTAGGAATCATGAGGTGGCTTGTCCCTAACAGTCCCCAGCAGAAAATCTGGCACCTGCAGCTTTTCAGGCAATCAATGCCTGTTACACATGAGTGACTGGACCACTGGTGAGGGTCACTGGGAATTCGTCTAAGTGGGAGAGGGCTCTTATTCAGAAAAATTGTTTTTCTGGATCAAGTGGTAAAAACTATTCAACTCACTCTCCAATTAAGGACTGACTGCTTTGTTGTTTTGTTTTTTAATGGTTGAAGACTGCCAAGGAGTCTGCCATGTACATAGCTTTTGCTCTTAGTGAGTTCGAGTCTTTTCAACTATTGGAGTTGTGTTCCAAACTCATCTTTTCTGAGAAAATCATATCCTTAGGGTGGTATCGTTCCTCCCCTGCTTCCCAAATATTTTAATTTCACCTAATTCAAATATTTGGAAAAAATAATACAATGAACACCTATGTACTATTCAGCTAGATATATCCGTTGTTAATATTTTCCATATTTATTCTCACTCTCTTCAGATATATATGCATTTTTTTTCTAAACCATCTGCAAGTAAGATGCCCTTTTGCCGTGAATGACTTTAACAATGAATCTCCTAAGCAAAAGGACATTCTCCTAAACAGCCACAATATCACCACCACACCTAAGAAGTGCAATACTGATACAATAATGTCTAATAAAGACTCTATAATCAAATTTCTTCAACTGTTCCCAGATTGCCCTTTCATTGGAGTTTTGACCCTTCATGCCATCCACGCTTCATACATTTTCTTTGTCATGTGTCTTTGCACCTCCTTTAATGCAGAGCAGTTCTCCCACATGGTCTTTATTGGTGGCGCTGTTTTGTCTTTTATATAGAATGTCCCACCATTTGGATTTATTTGGTTGCTTCAGCATCATTTGAAGCAGACTAAATATTTTGGCAAGAATATTATACAGGCGGTGTTGTGGGCTTCCCATTGCATCACAGTAGATGGCACCGAATTTGTCCTGTGACTGGTGATGGTAAGTTCAGTCACCTGGTTAAGAAAGTTCTGCCAGGTCTCTCCATTACAACTGTGTCTTTTGCCCTGTAAACAGTAAGTAATCTCTGGGGCCATTCTTTCCGACCACGTGTTCTCCAATAATGGTTTACCTAATGGTTTTAGCATTCATGGAAGGATCTTGCTGGAATTTTTACATTTTTAATTTCAAAATTATAATTTTCTCTATTACTTCTTTGATATTAATTAGTTGTCATTTTTCTGTAAACAAGAGTTTCCTCCTTCTCTTCTTACGTTCTTTTAGGGAATATTTCTGTGACTCCTTTTCTCTTTATTTTAATGTGTTGTAGTCTATCACCATCATATCATCATTATTTCTAGTGCTCCCTTTATCTCCAATTTGGTTAGTTGGTGCTCCTTCAAGGAGGATCCTGCATTCTTCTGACATATCCTCATTCGTCTTCATGTACTTGGCTCTCCTTGTGCTGATCTCACCCTGATCTGGAATCAGCAGTTTCTCCATTAAGCCCCTGAGTGGGGGTATTTTGAAGCTAAGATTTAGGTTCTACTTGTGCCCATTACTTCCAATCTTTTTAAGGAGAAAAAAACCATCCAATTCAAAGGCAACACTCACAATTCTGCTGGAGGCTGGTATCTTACTGTCAGGTCATACACCACAGGCAGCATGTTAATTCAGGCATAGCAACAATTCCAGGTTACACTCAAAATAGCAGCAAGCAGTGTTCTAGGAGTAACTGACACTGCGCAAACTAGTTACCTTTTGCCTGTAATATATATCTAGATTTGCTGGACCTTTTGGTAATAAGTGAACTGAATGATAAATGGGTAAATACAGGAACAAATTCTTAAATGAAGATTTTTGAAAACTAAATCATTGTACTTAACCCATTGATGGTACTGAAATTTGTAAGATAACTTTTAGTGCTGTGTATATATCCAATGCCAGTTTACCTGCATCTTCAATGTTTCCCAAAGTGTGATCTGAGGGTCTTGGAGACACTTTCAGAGAGACCGAGAAGTTAAAACAATTTTCATGATAATTCTAAGATGCATTTGCCTTTTTTTACTGTGTGGATATTCCCACAGATGATGAAAAACTATGGTATATAAAGCTACGGGCACTTAGCATGAATGAAAGTAGTGGTACCAAGCTGTGTTAGTACACGTGGTATTCTTCACGACCACACAGTTGCAGGAAAAAGAGCCTAAACTTTTACTTAAGAATTCCTGATGCAGAGTAAAAATCATTACTTTTAACTATAGACACTCCCATACATGTTTTTTAAACATTCTCAGTGAATTAGTGTGCTGAAATGTAATTACACATGAAGCACTACTGAAATATGATGGTTATCTCAGGGAAAAAAAGACTTTTGATATTGTTTGAGTTGCAAATGGAATGAACAAACTTTTTTCCAAGGAAATCCATTTTTACTTGAAATAGACTAACACACTCTGATTTTTCAAATAGGCATTGATGTTTCTAAAAAATGAATAAAGTGCAGCTGTCATTTCAGTGAAAAGAACTGACAAGTATTTCTTGCCAATAATACATTCTGAGTTCTTAAAAAATTAGAATTTCAGAAAGTTTGTGTCTGCCACTATGGGCTTGTCAGATTCCTGAGACTTCTCAAGGGTTTTCTGGTGAGATTCTTGGTGATACCAACAAGTATCCTTTTTTTTGATATTATGTGATTAAATATGTCAAAGTTCATTTGCCTGTGAATTGGTATTTTTCAGATAATCAATGTACAAATACAACAAGTCCACACATGGGTAAAAGATCCACTTAAAGTGCAAGACAAACTAATGGATTTTAATGTAACCAAGTACAAAAATATCATTCATTTGGTTTTAATGTCCCATAGATATTGAAGATTTTGTGTTTGTAGAATCTCTAATAAAATTTAACAGTCTTCAAAGAGCCTTCCCCTTAAACTCTACTTTTCTCTGGCCTATCTATATGTTAGCAAAAAATAGCTGACAGTCACAGTCAAGATTCATTCCTTGTCAAATTATTTGTCTCAACAGAATGACTAGCACTTTGTTAGATGCTGTGAAATCCAGAAACCATGGAGTATAGGTAGTTTCTCTAATGAGTATCTCTGGGGTCACTCATGACATGAAACATGATATTCGGGTGTGCCACCTACCCCCGTGGCTGTGGCCTGGGCTGAGCATATCCCAGGGCTGTGTAACATCATTCCTTTCTCTGCTATTCAGAAGAGCACAGCAGAAGGCAAGTAAGTGAGAGGATGAATAAACTTACACTGACTGAACTTACTTAAAATATAAATTAATATCCTAACTTATATTTTGGAAAAAACTCATAACTTTAGCTACACTGCAGCTGAGAACTGCTGTGAGACACTGTGAGCTTCTTAGGCAGCAACTGCACCTTCTCTGTGCTTGAATCCCTGCCCTTGGCACAGCGCATGGCACTAGGTAGGCACTCCAAATGTGTGTCGACTTGACTCTTGAACATTGTATCTTAATAAGTGAGTATTTAATAATCTCTCTAATGACTTATGCTATTATGTAAGTTTTGTGCAAATCAACGGTTTGAGAGGTAGGAAAAAAACTATATGTATAACCACAATCATGTAATTTCTGGGGCTATTCTACAAAATATTTTTATCAGGGATATACAGCTAAACTGGAAGATTAGTACTTGCCAGAAATTGAGGTCTTGAGAGCCACCTTACAGAAGAGAGAACTTTTAATTTTGTCGTGTAGACTGGATTATGAACAGCATTTTGAAGGAAAGAAGACTAATTTTCATGCAAAATTTCACTTTGTGTTCTGTTCACTGCTCTTCTGGGTCCCCGGGGGCCTCTATTGCTCGATGTCTCCCTCCTTTCCTCTGCCCCTGCCCATGTCCTGGCCTCTCTGCCCTTATAGGTGGGGAAGAGGTCATGGGGGGTGTGTTTGTGTGTCAGCTGTTTGTAAATAAGAAGCTTTGGTTGGTCTCATGTACAACATACATCATTATTATTGGCATCTATAATTTGATGTTTCCTTAAAAAAGTGAAAAAGAATCCTGCTCTTGATACCATTTTTTGATTCCTATTTTTTCATGTTTGATACTGCTGATGTATCAGAAAATCCTGTTAGCTGTCATTTCAAATTATAGCCAGAATTTGACCATTTCTTAGTAGTTCCTCCACTACAACCTGGGTCTAACCTACTATCATATCTCTGCTGGATTACAGGATTGTCCTCCTAATACGTCTTCCTACTTACCTTGGAATACATCCAATAAGTTCTAATATATCTCTTCTCTTGGCCTTTACACACGATTCTCTACTGAACAGCCAGAAGAATGTCTTTAAAACATAAGTTGCATATTTCTCTTCTCTTAGTCCTCCAATGGCTTCTCAACTCAGAATAAAAACGTGCTTACAAAAGTTTACAAGGCTTTCCAGCACCCAGACTCTCACACTTCTGACTTCATTCTATTTGCTCACTCCACATAGTAACTACCCAAGGGCCTTTGCACTTGTTGTGTCTTCCACATAAAATGTTCTTGTTTTAGTGTCTCGATAGTTTACTCTTTGGCTTCCTTTAGTTCTGTTTAGTATCACTTCATAGCAGAAGGAACTGTACAAAGTATACATTAATAGAGTGTACCCTTCTCAGTCAGATTTCTCATTCAAACCACAGAAGAAGAAATGATTTAAGTGACTATTTCCCAGTTCTCTCAAAGATGGTACAGGGTTGGTACCCTCTCGATGCTCAGGAGAGATGTTACTTAATTGTGTGCAGCGGACACCTTGTGCTATTAGGTCTTAGTTCTCTCTCTCACATAACCCTGGTTGAGAAAGACTGATATTTTAATAGACACAGATTCTATCCACACACATGAACTACAGACAGACCAGGTGCCACTGCATAAACTCAGAATACCCTTAGCACTCATAACTCTCACATTATTCTATAAAGAGCTCCAGTGTGGAGCTCAAGTGGTTACAGTATTCAAAAATTTCACCTTCTGCCAAGCTAAAGAACCAGAAAATGCATAATAAAAAGTAGATTGCCTACTCACAAGTATATAACTCAAGGAATTTGTCCATGGTTGTTGGCTTGGTGTTGTTGAGTTGCTGGAAAATACTCGGATCCGTTTCATACTCAACAAATAATCCAAATAAAACAATAAGGACAATCTCCAGGCCAATGGCCATGAGAGGGAATTTGATCCTCATGTTCGTAGCAGAGGACCGAGGCACACTGAGGCCTCACAGGCTGTGGGAGGTTGATAAGAACAGGGGCACTGCTCTGCATGGAGAATTAGGCTGCATATTCAAGGCACTCCAATGATGTTGCAAGAAAAAAATGGGCAAAACCAATGAGCACACTCCACCCATTGAGGAGAATTATGCTCTGTAATCAAATTATTCTAAATTCTGGTTTGAAGAATATACAATATAGATTGGAAGAAGCCAGGTGATGGAAACGATCTATTGCACACAAGTATCTGGAATCTTATTTAACTTAAATCAGCAGGCAGTTTTTGAGTGCTTATTGCATGACAGGCACTGAACTAGGCTCTACAAGAGTCAAAAAATAACTAAATGAAACATAGAATGGGTCTATTAAGTTCCTTGAGGAGGTTAATAATCTAGTTGGGAAGACAGAAATATAAGCAAATGATTATATAATGACAGATAAGTAATTAGTGCTTATAAAAGTATTAGGGAACATAAATTAGGCAATAATTAATTTCATCTTGGACCAAGAACACTAGCATATGAAATGGTATTGAAAGGAGCATTAAAAAGTAAATAGGCTTTATCAGTAAAACAGGTAGAGGGGATAGCATAAGGCTTGGAAGAACACAATTAGTTACGTAAAGCTGGAATATAGGAGCGATGGGGAGGGAAGGGAGTGGCCTGGAGTAAAGCTGTAAGGGTAGGCAGGTTGCACTAAAAAGGGCCTTGTGTTTGATACTAAGGATATGTAGTCGTTGACTATTAGCCTCTGGGAAATGAGGAGTACACAGCACTGTACAAGTGGTTTTACTTATTTAGGGCACTGTCATTCTCAAATCCTTACACAGCTTTACACAGAGGTAAATGTGTGAGTACACAGATATGTTGCGCTATATTTTTAATCTTAAAAAATAAAAGAGTGGACTTAACAGAAACATAGTTAATCCACTCTCCTGAAAAATAATCATGTGAAAATAAGATGTGTAAATAATTATGTGTAACTTCAAAACTACCCTGACTGTTCTTGTCTCTGCCCAGGAACTGTTCTCATAGCAAAATAAACCTGCATCTGAGAACTTAGAGCTAGCAGTTAAATAAAATTCTTCTTGCTAAGCCCTGTTTCTAAAAGATTCTATGCAGAAGAGAAAGGAGGAAGAAAATGCAAGTGGCTGCTAGGCCAGATTCTACACCAGAACAAATGTTTATGAAAGAAAGCAAATCTGTTTTATTTTCTGTCTTTCTACTATGTTTTTCCACAATTAGGCCATGAGAATCTGGGACTAAATGATCGCTGACATATTATAGACCTGCAATTCAAAGATTTTGAAAATGGCTATTTCCATCATTCCTTACAGGATGACACAACAGGAGTGTGTACAGGCCTAACTATTGGAATACACATGTACATTTCACACTTGGAATTTTGGTTTTGCAATGGGCCAACAAGTGCTCACAAGAACTCCAACATATCATAAATGCAAAGTATTTATGTTGATAAACTGTATACAGGTTATAAAAAAAGTAACAAAATATACACTGAAAGAAGATCTGAACAAGATCATAAATCAATGTGGCTTTCAACTATTTAAAAATGAAAAATGTTAGATATATTGCAGTATCAGATATTGAAGAGTTCAGATTTGCTGATCTCCTCTGAATGTAGACCTTTGCAAGTTGAATCATGTACAATCTGGGAAAATAACTATTTCTCATTTGGCTTTTCACTCAAAATGTTCTCTCTAGATGGAGCACTGTTTCCACACATTCCTCCCCCCTGCCCCCACATGTTCTCAGATAAAATGTTTCTTCCTCAGCCAAGCCTTCCTTGGCCTTCCATTTTCACCCAGCTTCTCATTATTCTCTCTCATTGAATCGTGATCTTTGTTTTCATAGCACTTCCTGTTGGTCGTGTGTGCTAAGTTCATGTGGTGTTTCTTTATAGGCATTTTAAAAATGGCTTTTTCCCTCACTGGCCTGTTGCTCCCTGAGGACAGAGGCTGGGTCTCTTTTGCATATCGTTTGTTATGCAGATTTCAACGGTGCGTAGCACACAGTGGGCAATGGATAAATATATGTAAGTGAATTAAAGTAAGGGCAGTCTTAAAGGGGGAAAAATGCTCAGAAGGCAGTCCAAATCATATGAGGGAAGGACAAAGAGACAGTCTTACTTTAACAAATTGCATTTAAGTTATAGATATGTAGAATCCCAACAGTAACTTTAATATTGCTGTTTGCTCCCTCGTTTATGCCAGTCAGTGAGGGCTTATCACCAGGATCTCTGGTTGAACAAAACTGTGGATTGAGCTCAAACTATGAAGCTGGGAAGGACCAAAGATCCGGCACAAACAGAATATGGCACACAGTAGGGTGACATTGAAGGATCTAACAGTCTTTAAAAATACTTTCTCCTGACAGTTCTTAACCACAAAGAGAACAAGCTGGAGAGTAGGGAAGTTCTGTTCTGGTGCTTTTAAAGCCTTCTGGTAGGTGGGTGGGATAAATCTGAAAGTATCATGACTGGGAAGCCATGTTCCCATCCTTGGTTGATTCTTGCTGTGTGGCTTTAAGAAAGTGACATGATTTCCTTATCTTAATTTCTGAATATATGTAAAATGGGATAACAGTACTATTAGGAAATTTGAGTTTGCTTATTTTTGCTAGCAAAGACGGATTGAAATAGGACCACTATTCCTTTTAAATTGTCTCTCTCTCTTCCTACCCTGGCAGATCTACAATAGAGGGATGTGGAGGCCAAAGGGCTAAAAGATTGTCAGTTTTTTGTATATTCTGGACACTGAGTCAAGTGCCTATTTATCCACTGTATTGAATCCTATCACAAGTGGATACATTTTTCTATTTTACAAATACAACTTGCTCCACTGATTTGAAATATTTAAATAGTTACTCAACGGCCATACTGATATAAAGTCCAGTGACTACCTTTCGGTGCATATTAAACAGGCAAATCTCATCAAGCAATGATCAAGCACAAAGAATCTTTAAATCTGATTGTTACCATATAGAAGTGTTGAATCGTAACTGACATTCTATCAAAACTGACATTCTATCCCCTTTTTTGAGTGAGTCACTTCTTGTTAATTAAAATTCCAAAATTTTAAAAATAAAGGATCTTGCTTATACCAAAGGTGGGAGAGAGACTTGAAAGCTCCAGGGTGGTTGCTGAGGTAAGCTTTTCATTAAGTAAAGCACTAATTAATGTCTTTTCTTTCTATCACTTTGGTTCGGTATTGTTGGATTGAAGAAATGGATCTTATATGTAGCCTGTAAAACGTTGATCTCCTGATTTGAAAATTGAACTAACTAGCTGGGTAACTTATATTATGTGGTTAAGAAAAAATCCTGGTGTATGAATTAGGACTCCCAAACAACAGCTTTAACATAATTACTTTTATTACCCTTTAACTCCTCTACTGGATTTGAGTATTTTAAGGCAAGGTAATTGTTTTATTCACTTTCTATTTTTGGTCTGATCCATGACATAATTTCTTTTATTTTAATTTTTTTAAAGAGCTTTATTGAAATAAAATTTGTATACTATATAATTAACTCATTTAAAGTATATGATTTCATAGTTTTTAGTATATTCACCAACATATACAACCATCACTACAGCCAGTTTTAAGAACATTTAGAACCTCAAAAAGAACCCCATATCCTTTAGCAAATACCCTTTATCCCCAAAACTTCCTCCCTGCCTGAGTAACCTCTTTCTTTATTGATTTCCCTATTCTGAACTTTCAGATGAGTGAAATTTTCTAGTACAAAGTCTTTTGTAACTGGCTTCTTTTACTTATGATATTTTCAAGGTTCATCCATGTTGTAGCATGTATCAGTACTTCATTTCTTTTTATAGCCAATTACATTCCATGGTATGAATATACCACATTTTGTTTATCTGTTTGTCCATTGACAGACATTTTGATTGTTTCCAACTTTTGGTTAGTATGCATAATGCTGCTATGAACATTCATGTACAAGTTTTTATTGTAGACATACATCTTCATTTCTTTTGGGTATATATTGAGGAGTAGAATTTCTAGAGCATATGGTAACTCTGTGATTAATCATTTGAAGAACTGCCAGACTGTTTTCCAAAGTGGCTGTACCATTTTATTCCCTCTAGTGGCATATAGGGTTCTGACCTCACCAACACTTGCTGTTACCTGACTTTTTTATTTAACAGTCCTACAGGGTGTGAAGTGGTATTAATTGTGGTTTTGATTTGCATTTCCCTGATGACTAATTCGTGTGCTTTTGGCCATTTGTATATCTTACTTGAAGAAATGTCTATTCAGATCTTTTCTCATGAGGTACTTTTTGAAGTGTTGAATTGCACTGGTCCAGGTTCTGGAGGAGACTCTGCTACTAACTCATACACCGTTAAGTGAATCTCTTAAACTGCCTTGTCATCATTTGTCTCATCTTTACTGTGGCAGGGAGGACTCTTGCCTGTCTCAAGCAGTTACTGTAAAGATTAAGTGAGAGAGTATATAAAAAGCTATGTTATAAGTCATAGAGAGATGGGAAATCTAGGTATGACAGAACGAACAAAGTGACAAATGTGTAGGGCAGTTTTTTGGAAAAATTTGAAACCTTTATATAAATTTGATAAATTATAGAAATAAAGGCATATTTTTTTAAGTTAAAAGGTCATCAAAATTGCTATATTCTGTCAACATTTTGAATTAGAAGAGATTTTTAAATTTCTTATTTTGAACAACTTTAGGTTTATAGAAAAGTTGCAGAATGGGAGTCCCCTACTGCCCTCCATTCTGCTTCTTCTAATGTACATACCTGATAGTCATAGTACAGTTGTCAAAACCAGGAAGTGAACACTGGTATAATTCTGTTAACTAAAATCCAGACTTTTTCACTCATGTCCTTCTTGTGTTCCAGGTTCAGTCTAGCATCCCATGTTGCATGTAGTCATCGTGCCTGCGTAGCCTCCTGTAATCTGAGTTCCTCAGTCTCTC